TAAGCTGGGGTCAACAGTAACATTATAGATAAGCAATAGATAGCAACATCTTGCATTGAAAGCTTTTTATTCAACACTTCAATTGTTGAACACTATTATTTAACATCATTGCTGTTTGTGTGTGTGTGTGTGTGTGTGTGTGTGTTTGATCCAAGAATCTCATCAGCTGTCTGTCATAGAACTGAAGTCCCCAAGTGTTACTTGTAAGTTGCCCACCAGTTTATCTAATAACTTAAGAACTATGAGTCAAACGGTGTGGACTATACCCATAAATGACCACATCAACATCTCAACTTCCTGAGGATGTTAGCCACAGCAGCCAACAGCTACTGTAGGGGAGTGCGGGGTAAGTTGTAACGAAGGGCTGAATAAAAATGAAAATGCAGGCATTGAATTAATGAAGACAGTGTGACAACAACTACTTGTCTTTTGATACTTACCTCCAGATTCTTAAAAACATTGATATTACATTAATTTAACCGGATATCCTATTACATATAACATCTGTAACTATATGTTTTAATATGATTTTTCAGAAATGTAAATAGGACAATAAAGTCAGCACATCAGTGTTGCAAACAGTTATTAATTATGTACACAAGGCCTACTATTAATGTCAGCACCAGCACAGAAAGCTGTAGCATCTTTTATAGAAATCCAGTTTGTGAGGGATTTCAAAGGGTCTGTGTACAACATAAACTCAATCAATCAGTTTATTATTTGCCCCAAGTGGGCAATTTGTGCGGCAGCAGGCATGTTGGCACACAACAAATATCAACAAAATGACATAGACAATCAGTATAATACAGAAACACACAACAGTGAACCTATGCTAGGTTCCTTACGCCAATGCAACGTTGTCATAGCTTATCTGAAGCAGGTCATAAGTGACCACTATTGCTACCCAGGCCCATAAATAATATCAAACACATTAACCCTAGTACTGAAAACGTAAAATAGTGTGATGTACATCATCTACCCAACGTATCTGTCTTAGTCCGACTGAGAGGTCAACACTATGAATGAACTATATGTAGGCCTGCTACAATATATTACACTACTAATATTCTGCACCACAATAAATATCTCACACTACCGATACGATATTTTGAACAACTTTTACACTAGATAAAGTATATTCACTGCAAATAAGATACCACAGATAGATATAATACATCTCAGTACATTCAAAAACCAATATACACATAACATAATTGCCCCAATCTCTTGTTGACATGATCATCGTCAACCATCCCCCAACATCAATAAGGTGGTTACCTCCTTCTGCTATTGGCATTTGAAGCTTGAATGGAGACAGGGAAAAAGAGATCTTATACTTATAATAAATTGCTTCTCAATTTGTCGTTTCCTTGCTCCTCGCTCAAACCGGAATTTGTTCTGCACCGCCATCTTGCAAAGCGTCCATAGACAGTAGCCTATACAGTCCCCTCCAAAGGTATTGGAACGGTAATGTCCTGAAAAAAAACTACTGGTGTACTGAGCAACAGACGTCCAACAGGTCGGCCAAGGAAAACAACAGTAGCTGATGACAGAAATATCATGAGAGCTGTGAAGAAAACCCCCAAAACATCAGGAAGTGACATCAGCAATGACCTCCACAGTGCAGGGTGAAGGTATCACAATCCACTGTTGGAAAAAGACTCAGAGAGCAGAAATATAGAGGCCGCACCACAAGATGCAAACCATCAGCAGCAAGAATCAGAAGACTAGATTGAAATTTGATGAGATCTGATGAGACCAAGATTATCTCTAGCAAAGTGATGGAAAGGCCAATGTGTGGAGAAAGAAAGGAAGTGCTTCTGATCCGAAGCGTACAAGCACATCTGTGAAGCATGGTGAAGGTAATGTCATGGCTTGCGCGTGCATGGCTGCTTTTGGAACAGGCTCATTAATATTTATTGATGATGTAACTGATGATGGTAGCAGCAGAAGGAAGTCAGAAGTGGACAGAAACATTTTGTCTGCCAGTTTATGGAGAAATGCATTGAAGCTAATGGGGAGGAAGTTTATCATGCAGCAGGACAGTGACCCAAAGTACACTGCCAAAAAAAACAAAAGACTTCATCAGGGGAAAAAAGTGAAAGGTTTTAGACTGGCCAAGTCAGTCACCTGACCTTAACCCAATAGAGCTGCATTTCACTTCCTTAAGAGGAGACTGAAGGGAGAAACACCCCGAAACAAACAAGAAGTGAAAGAAGCTGCGGTAAAAGCCTGGAATAGCATCACAATGAAGAATGCCAGGAAATAAAAGCTGAAATTCTCTTTCAGCTCTTTGAAAAACTCTTGTCTCATACTCATCTTTTGATCTTAAACCCAAATGTCTTTAGTGAACAACAAAAACAAAGGAATTTGCCTTACCGTGCCAATACTTTTGGAGGGGACTGTATTACTGGACGAAGCCTGCACTCACTTTTAGGCTTTCCGCGGGGTGAAAGCCTAAAAGTGAGTGCAGGCTTTGATTGAGTTACGCCTACAGCATTGCAATTTCCACTGAAATATTTAGCCTAATAAATCAAAGGACCCCGTGATCATATTCTGGGTTATCCAATAGACCTAATTAATACACAATCAATATTAAAAAAACATGCAAATAATTAAAATAATATAAACGCATTCTGCAATTTCTGCTGAGAAGGACAATATAGCAAATACAGACAGAAAACATTCAGCTCTGTGATCTCAGCACAGTGCACAGGTGTGCACACACAAACTCCATCAAAAGTCTCTTCAGCTGTTGAAGCCATCTGATACTGACAGCTGCATTAGCTGATCCAGCCGTCATCAGAAACGGACGTCGCTTCATGCTTCAGAGAAAAGGACTTCTCATGTCTCTAAAAACATACTCCCTCGTTCCTTCTCTCCTGGCATGGTGTGCTTGCTTCTCTCAATGCATCCCCGGTGGGCGGGACTAAGACGCAACAAAAAGTTGCAAGTGAGGGAAACTTGCAATTAAGAGACTTGAGAAGCACATTCTGCCCTGCGATGCACTGGCGACCTGTCCAGGGTGTGCCCCGCCTTGCGCCCGATAACAGCTGGGATTGGCTCCAGCCCCCCCGCGACCCTGTACGCAGGATAAGCGGTTGACGATGGATGGATGGATGGAGAAGCACATTCTGTTTCACCCCGTGTTGACAGTAAGGGCGGTGGGTCCGCTGTTAACGACCGGGAGTTGGCTTAGGGACCGTAAATAAATTACTATTGTTTTATTAGTGTTATGGTAAAATCATCAGTTTTTCAATAGCTTCTGTGTCAGTGATACTAATTAAAGTTAATACAATAATTTATTTACAAAATGATTTTTTTTAAATTATAATTTACAAAATCAAATGTAACAGTAAAGATTGTTAGAAATGAATGAAAACAAATCATAAAAGATATTAAACAAATAGTAAATATTGTGCAAAATATTAAAAGTTAGGCTACCTCCCGGAACAGCAAGGACACTCCCTCTACCAATTAGAGGGAAAAACCTGTTCCTGTGGTTGCAGCCACCAGTAATACCTTGGTGAAACTCATAGATGCACACACGCACACACACACATGTTGTCACATTTTGGCTCAATTAGGAATTTTGCAGCGGTTGTCAAAAACATGGTAGCCTAATTTATTATTGTGGGCCCAAACGCATGGACTTTTAACTGACTTCTTTGCTTAATCTGTAGGCAGTTTCTGCCAAACAGTTTTCCAAAAACAGTGTGGAATTTGATCTTTTTATCAAATCAGTTAAAGGTTCACTTACTCACAGGCTAGAGCTTTCCTAACTGATTGGACTATTTCACTTCACTCTGAATGTTAAGTTTTTAAAAATGTTTAGCGAGCTTAAATTTCATCAGAGCCCACAAGTCACCTATCATGGAAGTTATTGGAAAAAGCATTTATTCCGTAAAATGTGAATAAATATAATATAAATTTGAGTCCCTGGTTCACATGACAGGAAAGCTACTAAAAAAAAATCTTTAAAAATATTAAATATTAATATAAATAGAATATGCACTCTGCACTCAAATCTAAGGGAATGTGTCATTTGTCCAGTGTAGTAGGCTAATAAAATTCGGCATAGGTTTGGAGTTCCTGAATCATGAATGAAAAAAATCAATTTTTTCATTAAATTTCGTCCAGTCTAGATCTACAATTTGGCACTGGCTTGGAGTCCTTCAATCACATTACACACAAACTGTTGACTCGACTGGCCGTGCTCAGTTTTCCATTGCAGATAGTACCCAGAGATAGATCTCCTCACTGTAACTGGTCGTCATAGCCACATCACACACAACTGCCACTACGTAATGTTCAATGTGACACACCAGCGATCCACACAGCTTTCTCTTTTTTAAGTTAAAACGTTTCCTCAGACAGTAAAGACAGATAAGCGGTATGAAAACCTTCCAGCTGTGTTTTCCTCTGCCATTGTTGCTGTCTGTGTGACTGTGAGCGGGCGGCTGGCCGGCCTCACACGCTCCTCAACTCTGAAAACTTTCAACATCTACACAGCTGCACTTCTCAGAAGTGGATTTAGTGATGAAGGTACAAAAAATGTAAAATATAAAACTTTCTGTTGCTGGCCTCTGTCTGGCGCACGCAATGAGGATGCAGTAGCCTAAATAGTGACCATTCTCTCTGACCAATCAGCAGTCTGCTGTGTTTTCAAGTCACGTCGCCTCAGCTCACTTGGAACCTCGACGGAGGTGATACGAAAAAAAGTACCTGGAAGCAGCTACAGGTCAAACTTTTCCACAATGGAAAACCAAACAAAGGCGAGTCGAGCTGGTACCATGCAGTGGAAAAGGAGCTATAGTAATTTATTGATGGTCCCTAAGCAAACAAGCCCTTGGAGGTGAGCGTACCACCCCTATTCTGTTAACACTGTGTGAAACTGAGCAAGGAGACGCCACTGGATCTTGAGTGAAAATCTGTCAAATTACCAACTTAAAACAAACTCTCCTGCGATAAATAACCTTACTGAGGTGGACCGTTATCTGAGCGGATGTGTGGGGTTGTGTTAATCACCTGCGGCACAAGACGTTGAACTTTCGTTTTTGGATTGTGTCTTCAGTTTTTGGATCATCAATCTTCAACTTCATTATTGGTAAGTGTTGCTACATCAGACTACAGCAGCTATAGGTTATGGGGCTGAAGTTACTAAGTTACCGATCATCAAAAGAAGCAGGTGGAACAATAAAGGCTATTAATAGAAACTCAAACCCATTGTCAATAAGCTAGAGTAGTAATAACCTATGCGATAGACTTCTGTTTGTAGTTTAATTTAAAAAGATCAACATTTTATGAACCACTTGTGTGTAAAAGGGCTTCCCATTCCACTTGTAAAACGCCATAAGTTTTATTGATTATTGTTTTCATTCACCTGTCATTTAAACCAGCTTTCACACCTAAGCTGTTTGGTTCTGATAAAACGAACACCATCTACGGTTCGTTGGGGCAGATGTGAAAGCTGCCAATCGATCTCTGGTGCTGACCAAACAGCCGCACGTTAGACACATGGGAAAAAAAGCTATGGGATAGTTCGCACACTGAGCCTCAGTAACAAATGAGCAGAGCAATGAAAACGAAAATATTTCCACCATAAATTGATGCAGAAAACGACAAAAATCGCTACAGAATAATTCATCAGCATGCAAAAGTGTAACCTCTAATGTTGAAACCAAACCAAAAACTTTGTTTATTACATTTATTAAGTGTTTTTAGAGTTTGTATCACAATAACTGGCATTTTGAAACATTTTTTTTTACCCTAGAAACGCTTTTCCTACATTGAAGTGGGAGGGAGCAGCCTTTAACAGAGCGGATGTGCGCAGTGTTGTGTGTTTTACAGCAGGCACAAGACGGTGAACTTTCGTTTTGGGCAGGCACGTGCACACAAAAAAGGGACAGCACCTGCCCTTTTTCTTCCTCAACTGTCCTTTGTTGTTTTTAAATAAATGAATATACAGTACAGAGTCGGCGTCAGACTGAGCTCAGCAAGGGGGCAATTATTTTCAATGGCTGGGCACTAGTAATGGGGAATTTTTTCGGATATCCTACAGGCTAGTTATTATCGCTACTGCCCTACTGCCATATCTGTAAGTGACTAGCCTGATGCAAACCAACTCCTCCTAAACCGGCTCTATTATAAACAAAATTAATTCTAACTTTAAGATTAATTAATCTCACTGACAGGAGAGAGGCATCTTAATTCTAGTTTGCTCTACATAACACCATACAAACACACTCACAACTTACACAGAGATTTTACAATTTCCATTATCAAAAAGAAATAAAACAGCTCTTTCTCCATGGGGGGAGAGACATTTCAGGACAATGGACAGCGCATAACTGAAAAAAATAACTAGCCTAAATAGGCCTACTAAATTGATAGTCTAGAAAACAGACAACACAAAATAGTGCACTTTGACAGTAGGCAACATAGGATAATAGACTACCGGAGAACCTAGATAAATACACTAACAACCGGCCTACATGAAACCCTACATTGAACTCACAGTTAGAATTGGAACTGATTGGAACTTCTTGAGAAGCGTTAAACTAGTATGGTGTGAAGCTCTCCTGTGTTCGGAGAACACATGTTTTAGAGTGGAGATCGAATTTTCACAGGTCGCAGCAGAAGCATCAAATACCAAGGCCAGCTGGAGTGCCGTTGTTGTGCCGAATTCTGCCTGCCTGCTGAGCATTGCATGCACCTTGCGGCTGGTAACGCTCATTCATGCTGAGAAAAAAGAGGTGGATGCAAATTTCGGCAGGTAGCCTACAACATTCTTGCAGATGTTGTAGGTACATCCACCTCTAAAAGTCCTTTTCTGACACTTTGCTGTGCTCATTGATCAAACGCGGTAATCACCACATCTTTTAGCTGAATCTCAATGAATGATACTTCTAGCCTACTAAGTGTAATAAAATATTAACAACTCTAAACGTTTAAAAAAAATGTAACCTATACTTCATTTGCAGACACTGTTCTGCTGAGTTGTTAATTTCTCTCTTTACAAAGTAAATGGACACATGTAATTTACTTTACCAGACCATAGTCTCTCCAAATCCTGTGGGAAACACTGAGAAAAAAAGCACATTTTGATTATTCAATTTATGCAATGGTAAAAAAAATTAAAAAGGCAAAATAAATAGAAAGTAATGTAAAACACCTTGTTCGTTATTCATTATAAAGTTTTTCATTATATTCGGTTTTGGCTTCGGCCAAGAATTTTAAAGCATCCCTAGTTCTGGAGCTAGGCACCTAAGCATTTCACTCTACACTGTACTGTGTATGACACAATAAAACTTGAAGGAATGCAATAAACTTGCTAAAAATGTGCCTTTACGTCACATATGTCAGCCGAATAATCTGGTTAGTCACACAGTTAAGTTGGAGAACATTTATGCCAACGCAGTGATTCCTAAACAATGGACTAGCACCCCTAAAAATGCACCAGCGGTCTCTTTTCTGTGGAGTTCTTACATGACAGCAGAACAATATTCTATTGAATCTGTCTGACAGAGTGAGAGTGATTTTATTCAGTTTGAGCCCCGGGCTTAAACATTTAACAGCTGCTTCATTCAACTATCTGAGTTCGTGAAAACTTCAACACAATTCAAGCAACTCATGAATTCTAGAACAAACAAACGATTATGCGTTTACTTGAAGAACACAGACCAGCGTTGCGGTTAGGGAGGATTGCGTACAAGCTAAATGGAAATATGATCAACCTGCATTCAGGCTGTGTGATACAAGCAGACTGAAACACAAATGGGAAATAAAAGTTTGCATATGGGTCTAAACAACAATATCTTCATGCAATCTAGCTTTCAGGTTTGTAAGCACAGCGCATATCTTGTCTCAATGGACTCGTGACCTTTGTAGTCTGTCAGCTCGTTTCTGTTGCCTGTCTTTTCTGTAGTGCTCTTCAGTAAACAATGTAATGAGGCAGAATTGCCTTTAGGACAGCCAGAAAATTTAAATGGCCCCCTAAATTACTCTGGAACAACCTCTGATGTTTTCTGACAGGAGAATTCTAATTTTGTTTGAAGCCACCAGCTACGATGTGCTGTTGTCATCTCCTCAGTTCCCTGCAGGCCCTGACAATGGAGAGACAGGAGCCCAGATGTTACATATGGGGGCTTGTGACTGCAAGGCCATTAGTTAATTTGAGTGGTAAGAGGTAATGAGAAACAGTTTATCTTCTCCCTTACAAAATAACCACAGTGTCTTGGTTACAAGCCTGGCCGGGCACCTTTGTCCCATATTGTTTCCATTTTTCTCTCATAAGTTCTGTTGCTGCCACTACTACTACTACTACTACTACTACTACTACTACTGGTCATATAATTGAACCTTAATATTGAACCTTTTCACAATATTCTAATTTTCGGAGATACTGATTTTGGGGGTTTCATTAGTTGTCAGTTATAATCATCAAAATTAAAAGGAATGAACACTTGAAATATATCAGTCTGTGTGGAATGAACGTATACATTATACAAGTTTCACTTTTTTAATGGAATTACTGAAATAAATCAACTTTTTGATGATATTCTAATTATATGACCAGCACCTGTACATATGTTAAATAACAACAACCAAAAAAAAAACTGTTGTACACAGCATTTTGTGTCTGAAGAGTGAGCTGTGTGAAATTTGATAAATGTCCTCAAGGGATGTCATATGAGTCAGCATCAGTTGGGGCTTGAACTGAACGACAGAATAGGTCAATAGTTGATGTCTCCAAAATGACTGAAATGAGCGTTTGGTTCCCCATTGCAACACAGGGTGCTTAACCTTATCTGCAAGCACATTGACCTAGGCTGATGTAGTTACAGATAAGTGTGGTTTTCTGGGTTAGGCCAGCTTAAAATGACAATGAAAAAAACAGACCTCTGCAGCCCGCGGAGCCACGAACTAGCCGGGCTTTCTTGATCTTGCTGTCAGTAGACTCGTTTATTGACGTGTGGATGTAGTAGAATTTAGGCCTACAGTCATTTGAGATTCAGAGTTGGGGTTTATAGGCGTGGATGAAGCAGCTGGGTTTGGAACCATTTTCTAGCGTCCATTTTGGAGCTTTGTTTTGATATGTGCACTGCCGCCAGGTATCTCCCGCTAACTCAGAGTCATTTCATGCACATACTAACGTGCAAGTGCATCGGGAGGGGGGGAAGCAGGGAGATTTCCTCACAGAGCCACACTGAATTTTATGTTAACTTTGTGATGTTTTCAACAAAGTAACTGTTTGTAAATGTATTTTATTATTCCTAACTGAAATGTGAATTAAATTAATCATTTTGTAAGTTATATCATAATTCTTTTTGCGGGGGCATAAAAGGCTTTGGGGGAGCATTGCCCCCTAATGCCCCCCTATACCGCCGACTCCGATACAGTATATTTATTCCTGTTTTCGCTCAGCTTCCCTGTCAAACAAACATATATACTGGGAAAATAAATATCAGGTGGGAAGATGAGACATTGAGTTCGATGCCCTCTCTCTCTCCCTCGCTCGTGTCTCCCGCAGCAGCACAACACACAGACAGACAGACAGCAGCCCCTCCCAGCTTCTGGCTTGTGTGGAGGTGAGTGTATGAACAAAAGACTAAACTACCAGTGAAAAAGCAAAAGACAAAACAAAAGGCAAAAGGCCAATATAGGCCTACTTGCTAACATGCGTGACACATGAGCTGAGCTAATGCAATAAGTTAGCTGAAGTTTAGCTAAGGCAATATCTCATGGCCATACAGGCTGATGTACTGTACTGAATGGAGACACTACAGGTGAATACAGTAAAAAACGTCATCACAATCGCCACATTCATATGCAAATTAGGCATTGACTAATTAACATGCACTAATTTGCACACATTTGACAAGTCACTGCAGGTGAATGGGATAAACAAAATTACTAAAGCATATTTAGTATTTTCCTCTGAAATGTTCTATGTAAATATGCAGATTAGCTTGTTTTGGTTCATTTAGAAGAAATCTATGCAAACAGATGGAGGGTAGCAGGCTTAAAACCAACACCAACTAAATGTGTATTCTTGAAGTTTTATTTCCATTACAGTAAAAGAAGACACAGAAGCAAAATAGACCA